AGAGTTATTGTTCTTAAAATGAGGTGGTGATGCTGGTAAAGAGTCTGACTGCAGATGGGATGAACGACCTGCGGTAGCGCTCAGCGTTGCAGGGTGGGTGTCTCAGTCTGCTGCTGAAGGAGCTGCTCCTGCAGTATGTAACTGTGACACCTAGTGTTCAAAATGGGTACTGCAGTCTAAATTCTAAACATCATAGAGAGCTGTCCCCCCCCCCCCCCCCCCCCCCCAGAGTGGATGCTCACACAGGTTGCCATGTGGTGGACTCTGAAGCTTCAGTGTTTGGTGTTTTCGTCCCGAGTCAGAGGACACACGATGCAGCAGCTTTACTTTATGATGTAAGAAAGCTGCTGACTCTACCTTTAAGTCAAATGTAAAATAGATGCAAAGATAAAGACACTAAGGAGTTAAACACACACACAGATCAGCTTAATTGCTACCATGAATCAACACATTGCTGAATCTAAATTATCTGCTTCGATTTCACTGCCAATCTGAGGCCGTGGTCAAAAGTGTCCTCACTGTCAACCACACACACACACACACACACACACACACACACAAAGTATTTACAGGACAATAAGGAGTGAATATATTTACAAGATAAATCTAATACATTACAGCCATTAGGTATGTTTTAAATTCTGAGCTGCAGTTTCATGTTTTATCCACACGAGGGAGCACTAGGACAGACAAACAGAGCTGATCCCCTTCACTGTGCATCATATGAAGTGTATGTTCAAGTTTAGGGTCCCTCAACACCTTCAGTTTTACAATCATTACATTTTTAATTCTTAGTGTCTTTAATATAAACGTCTCTCCACTCTGGATTTAACTCTTTATTCTCTGAAGGCGGCTCAGTCTTTGTTTTCTTTGTAGTTGAATTTCTTCTTTTACTGATTTGACTCTGAGTAGAACAAACAATATCAAATACAAAACAAATGCAGTAAAAAGCAACGGACTGAATTTGGACTGCAGTACCAATCTATACCACTAGGTGTCAGAGTTATATTTATATATAATAAAGTATATTTTACTGATTTGTTTTTCCTCTCTGTTTGATCTGCAGGTTTTGTACCGACTGAAGGAGAAAGTTCAGGTTTCTGACAGACAGGTAAAAGCTCCGCCCCCTGACCTGCACCTGACCCCAACTGTCCTGCAAGACTCCGCCCAGAAGTCAAGGGGCGCCAAGGTCAGAACCAGACACCCCAGCAGTTTGTGCATAAACGAGTAAAACTAAGAGCAGAAAATAGAAATCTATTAGTTTGCCTGGTTTTTAAATTAGTGAATTTAACGATAAAGTGTAATTTTTTTCTTTCAGAATTAGTAAAAAAAATAGGCATAAGATACTTGTAAAATATAGTAATGAGTCCTTTTGATTTCCAGATTGTGACGTCAGGAAGCATGGTTCAAGCTGAGCTCCCTCCAGCTGTAGCCACGCCCATTCCCCTGCAGCAGCCAATCATAGCCTGCCGTCGACTTGCTCCTCCTGTCGTCCCTCTGCCGAGGTAAGATATCAGACGGAGTAGTACGTCCATTTCTTCTCGGTTATAAGAAACTCGGCTACGGGATCACAAATCAAACATTGTGTTTCTCTTCCAGCCCTGCCCCCCCTGTACCCGTCTTCAGCAGCAACGACCACGCCCCCCATGTCAGCGTTGCCCTGGTGACAGGTGCCAGTAACGAGCTTAAGCCCTGCCCCTCCCCCTTCAGAATGAAACCTGCCGCAGGACTGCAAGAGAGGTAACTTACCTTCATTAAGCCCCTCCCCTCACTACACTATGGATACTCTTAATTTAACGTTGTGCTGTCAGCATCAAAGCGTTAATCGATTAAGGTTAAGGTCCAACTTAACGCGTTCATTTTTTTAATTGTGTGCTATTTTGTCCCTCTATGCGCTCCATACATAAAGCAATCCACATTGCTCCACATAAAAGCAAAAACAAGTGCTCAGAGTGTCCACCAGTAATGAAACACTTTGTGTGCGTTTGTGTGTGTTACAGTCACCTCTAACCTGTCTTTGTCAGAGCGGTCAGGTGTTGTGCTGCGTACGTGCCGATGAGGAGGCGTGTGTGTGTGTGTGTGTGTGTGTGTGTGTGTGTGTGTGTGTGTGTGTGTGTGTGTGTGTCCTCAGCCATAGCTCAGGAACATCAGCACTCTGAGATTACTATAGATTATGATATAATATTTAGATAGGGAAACAGGTTTCCTCCATAAACATGTAGGAGTTCCAAGAATGTTGTTTATATGAAGGGAGGCGTCCCATTGGACGTTTCCTCTGCGATGTTTCTTTTCATGTCAGGAAATTATACATCAGAACTCCTCCACATGAACTCTCCAAAGATCGCCCTTAAACTGACATCCCCTCTCGCTCGTCTCATTTTGAGATCTGTGGTGTTCCACAGGGCACCGTTCTTGGTTCCCCTGATGTTTGTGAAGGTATTAGGCCCGACACTTTCTTAATGAAACGATTCTGTAACATTCGAACACACTCAAGGCAGAGAAACGCTGGCTGTGCGTTGGAAGCGCTTGCATGAAGCGTTTGTGCTCTGAGAAGAAAAGCGCTGTACATCCGTCCTGTCTCCATGACAACAGTCTGCTGACAACAGCCGCTGTATGATTGACATTGCTCTGTTACTTTTTACTGCGTGTTTTATATTTGAGATCGTTTATTTCCCGATCAAACACGGAGTGAGGAGGATGATAAGACGCGATCTGTAGGTGGGAAAACTAAGGGGAATATCAAACATTTGGAAAAGAGCGCCGCTGACGTCAACAGCACCTTTCTGAAAAGTTGAAAGATTTGACACACACGGTGCGAAACTTTGATTTTGTGAGTTACATAAGTCTGCTCTTTGTGTCAGGTCAGAGAAATAAACTTTTCCCTCTTAAGGAGTTTCATGACTGGGAAAGAAAACATCAGTGTCGAGCACTTTAGACTTTATCTGCCACTCGTAACTCTTCCGCTGACTCAAAGTGCATCCGCAGATTTGAACCTCGGAGGCCATTTTGTTCTGGTTACATCAGATTTAGGAGCGAGGTCATTAAGTGTGGAGAACAGGTAAGACAGGGGAGGAAGATCTCAGCCTCAGAGTGAGAACAGGATGTTTTTCTTGGTGTCTGTGTGTGTGTGTGTGTGTGTGTGTGTGTGTGTGTGTGTGTGTGTGTGTGTGTGTGTGTGTGTGTGTGTGTGTGTGTGTGTGTGTGTGGTGTGTGTGTGTGTGTGTGTGTGTGTGTGTGTGTGTGTGTGTGTGTGGGGTCTACTCTGGATTGCAGCCAATCAGCAATCAGACAAGTAGGAAGTAACAGCATCCTGGAGAGGAAGCCGGTCGACACGTAGCCAGACGAGAAGAGTCCACCTACACATGAAACCATCAAAGCACACCTTGTCTATTCTTCTTCTTCTTCTGTCACCGCCACAAAACAACAATTCATTTCATCAGTTTAAGAGTTTAGACTCACAGGGTGTTTTATCTCTGGAGAAATAAATCAGTCACATGCTTTTATTCTCCTTCAACAACAAGAACAATTTAACAATAATAACAAAGGAGGGAACTTCTCTCTCCATCCTCTCCCTCCAGGCGAGGCTCCAACGTCTCTCTGGTGTTGGACATGTCGGCTCTCGGCTCTGTGGAGCCCCTGAATGTGTCCGTAGTAACCCCCAGAGAGGCTGCAGCCAGAGAGTACCTGCTGTCCGCAGGCCGGCCTCTGACACGACAGCAGCTCCGCGATATCGTCAACAACACGCACAAACTGCACACAGAGTTCGCTGTAAGTAGTAAAACACACATTTTTTTATTTTAAGAGTTATTTTTTGGGCTTTTTATGCCTTTAATGGAGATACAGGACAGTGGATGGAGTTGGAAATCAGGGAGAGAGAGAGTAGGGAATGACATGTGGGAAAGGAGCCACAGGTTGGATTTGAACCTGGGCTGCCCGCCTGGAAGACTACAGCCTCCATACATGGAGCGCATGCACTAACCACTGAGCCACCAGCGCCCCAGTAAGCTGGTGGCTTCAGGAAATCTGTTAATAAAGGTTTTTTAACATTGAACATCCTTTTCTTTTCTGTCTCAGGAAATCCCCATGAACTTCATCGATCCCAAAGAGCTGGATATTCCCAACCACGGGAACAAGAACAGATACAAGACCATACTGCCCAGTGAGTAGTGTGTGTGTGTGTGTGTGTGTGTGTGTGTGTGTGTGTGTGTGTTGCTAAGAGACAGTAACAGTTCCACAGCCCTCATCTCTCATTTCCTGCTGAACCAGGAAGTTGTTTTATTATGTGGGATGGAGCTTGAGGTCAAAGGCCAACAACGCCAAGGACAGCTTACTTGGCACCTCCCTCTTTCCTGACCACACACACACACACACACACACACACACACACACACACACACACACACACACACACACACATGAACACGCACTCTGTGGAACAATACAGTTTCTTCAGTACAGTTTGTTCTCACACAGCCAGCCAGCACTCTGCCTGATTAGGACGTTATATAACACACACACACAATGATAGTTTGGTGTGTGTGCTCGTGTTCTGGAGAGGGGGCGGGGTTATCAATACAAAAGTGAGGGAGGGGGAGCTCCTTCCTTCCTTCCTTCCTTCCTTCCTTCCAGCCAATCAAGGCTAAGGAATGCTCACCTAGCTGCTGTCAATCAAACACCTTGTTGGGGTGGACGAGAGTTAAGAAAACAAGTCAAGACAGAGTCTACAAGAAGTCAAGGGTTAAAGATGAAACTGAGTCAAGTCTAAACTAAGATGAAAAATGTGTCAAAACTTCTTCATAACTTCTCAAACAGGCTCTAGATTCAAGATTCTAGATTCAAGATTCAAGATTCAAGATTCAAGATTTGTATTTGTCACCAGCTCATACAGTGCAGTGAAATGTAAAGACTGTTCCGCAAGGCCATGCAATAACACTCAAATTACTAATATACATATATACAGTAAAATAGAATATAATGTAAAAAATAAATAAAGAATTATT